ATTTGACTCAAATATCTGGTGACTTCTCCCACTGATTGACATTGATATCATTTCACAAAGTATGTGGCCTTAGAAAATTTTTCTGCTTTGGATTTTCGCTTCGGAATCTCAGTGCACATTACTCATTTAATCAGTTTCCTGAAAATGGCTATTCTAATTTTGTAAAGCTGACAGCCCTAAAAGGGCACAGATAGACTTGCTGTTAAAGGTGACGTGTAGTGAGATTTTTCGTGACCTGTTGTTTTTATGTGAGCTGTGTTTGTTCCTTTCACATTAATTATTTTACTTCCTATCACATCAAACATCGTTGGCGTTTCTTCTATATTTGCAGTATGTCAAAGTAAACATTTTTGCCTTTGTAGATCAATAATATACTTCTGAAAACTTATCAATTTGCTGTCGAAATCATTCGGGACCGTATGCGAAACATTTGTTTTTTCTCGTAGAAATAAAATATTCCATGCCATAAATCGACACATCAATTCAAAGTTTTTTTAATATTTTCACATTCATTTGCTTTCTTTTTGCTCCCTTTATGGCAAATAAACGTACACTGTTTCTTGTTACAATTAATCTCATCAGGTGATTTTCTACGACCCAGCTCCGAACACTTCTTCTAGGATTGCCCACTTCGTTACTCTTTTAAGAGAAGCACATTTATTCTTTGGCATATTAATTATTCTTATTTAATTTTTCTTCCAATGATGTATGGAGCTTTCACCAACTCCAAACATCTTTGCTGCAGCACGGAATCCATTTTCTTTCGCAAACCGAATAACTTCGCATTTGAAACCAACACTATTTATTCTATTGTGGTTTATGCGTTATCGATGAAGTAGATTTAATTCAATCCAATACGTTTAAATGAAATGTAAGAAAAAATGCGTGTAATTTAATATTCCGAGCAAGGAAGTCATGTGGTGTTCACATCAGATTTTGTTTTTAAAGGAATAACCATAATGGGCTAGAACAACAGTATGGATTATACTGAAAGCAAGCTAAAGGACTTAGCTTCCTTTCAGGATTAAGACGGCTGGTACAGTACTGCTTTTACTCCTTCTGCTCTTAGAAGAAGCCAGAACAAGTTATTCGAGCTGTAATAATTGTAAGCAGGAATACTTTCAATCCCATGTAACAAATAATATTTAAACGTTTACATAAAACATCAAAATTTAAGTTCAGAAAGCTTTCATAAGTTATCTCTAATTATGTGACTTCGTGCTACTACATTAAAAAAAAATCTGATGTGTACACCACATGACTTCCTTGTACGGAAAATTAAATTATACGCATTTTTTCTTGCATTTTATTTAAACTTATTAGATTGAATTAAACCTACTTCACCGACAGCGCATAAACCGCAATAGAATAAATGCATTCTTTAAAATTCACTTTGTTTACCATAGCGACACTCTGGCGCTAGGTTTACTTAACAGTATTATATTTCATTCATATTATAACTCAGAATACACAAAATTTATATCATTTAAAGAATTATCTAACTGTTGCCACATGTTCTATTCAAATACTATAATAAAGCTAGAACTATGTATAAAAGAAATTAAGCAAACAAAACAAGGAACAGTTTTTCACAGACGATTGAGTATTTCTCATTCAATTAATTCAGTTTTCACTTCGCAACAAGGCAAAAATACATAAAAACTCAAAATATCTGTATTAAAAATTACAAAGTAATCTTAAACACTCATTTCCTCGAAAAAATTCCAGAAAGGATTAAGCATGATTTAAATAATAAATGAAGGTGTTATCTTTGTTTTGTGAAGCTAAGTTTCTCTAGATTGGCAACAAATCCGCTACTCAGCTGTTTCAAATGTAAACAAGAGCAATGGCCGCCATCAAATTAGGCTTAGCGGCACTTAAACAATTTTAAAATTGTTGATAATTCTAAAAATATTGCATACAGATTTACTAAATGCATAAAACCCTTAACTGGATGATAAAAACAACGTAATTCAATCATTTTTAAAGCAAAAAATGTACAATTTACAAACATATAAGAGTAAAGAAACTGAGATCACTGAGCCGGGTAACAGAGTGGATATATTTATAAATATATTTATATACGTTTGGCGCGGCCGATTGAAACCAAAATACGAGGTGCACATTTACATGTTATAGTAGTCTTATATACAAAATTTCAACGTTCTGAGGCTACTCGTTTTTGAGTTATGCGAGATACGTACATACGTACGTACAGACGCCACGAAAAATTCTCTTCAGAATTAATTTTAAAGCAGTTTTATTATTTTTTTTGGAGGAAAAGAGTGTTTTATTCTGTCCTTACGTACAGATATCACGCAAAAACATCGTTAAATTGCATTCGAAAGCGATCAAAGTGGATATTTTCGTTGAAATATGCTGCCTGAAGCTTTTCGCGATTACAATACTTCCTTTTTACTTCGTACAAGGAAGTTATAAATGATCTATATTAATTGCCATGTAAACCTCTTGTTTTAAAAATATAGAAAATTGTTGAATAACTTCAGGATTTTCTTTAGAAATCAGAACAATATTTTTGAGAAGTTTTGGCATTTAGTTTCATTTCAAATTAGCTGTTACGTTTATAAAATGATCAATTACGAATTATTTTCCCTCTCATGAAAGTTTGCATTTACCAGTTCACTTTTATGAGAAGGGCTAATATAATATATTTTGTTTAGTTTAGGAAAGAAATCTGATGAGAATTCTTACTTTTATAAAAAATGCATGATTTTATAATGAAATATATATATATATACTTAGAGCTGTTTTTTAGGATGCTTTGATATTTATGAAGAGCTATACTGTAAAAAAAAAGTTTTGTTTGAGCTGTCAAGTATACTACAGTACAGAGTCCAAGATCCAGACTCATCAGGGCTTTAGTGATAGCAGAGTTTTCTGAATCAGTTTAAATCCAGTAAGATGACATGTAAAAATTATAAAAATAAAAATATGAAATAATGATTAATGAAGGATTGATGATAAGGGATAATTCTCATTTTTTATATTATTTATATAAAAAATAGCTCAGTATTTATTTGTTTGCTTTATGAAACATTATTTTCAATGTCAGTTGTTTAATCTCCCCCCTTTTTGTGTATATGAGTGTGTGCGTGCGTGCGAGCTAATACTTTCTCTTTAATTCTATAGATACACATAATTTCTTGTTTAGTGCTGCATCAAATATTCCCAGTTAATTGTCAATTGAAATTTTTTGGGTTCCACAAGTGGCTGAATGGTAAAGCTGCTGAACACTGGTTGCTTAGTCTAGGGTTTAAATTCCAGTCAACAGGCTGGCTGCATGAGCATTTGCACAGTTTTCACCAGGTGTAACATGTCTGTGAACCAGTTGCCCTTAGAAAGTCCTTTGTGAAGGCATCTCTCCTCTTAGGTAAATAAGCTCTCGAGTACTGCGCCAAAATTGAATAAACCAGACTGAATTTTTTTGTTTTTTTCATTTGCAACAACCTCTCTGTCACTTTCTATACTATCAGTAGCATTAATCTTCTACATTTAGAACCATTCTACAGATTTTGCTGTCCGTTATTTGATTGATGATTGGGGTATTGCCATCACAATGAAAAACTTCTGTTATAACATATTCATTTATTACCACTTCTCTATGTTTCCAGAAATTCCATTAATAAGAAAAATTCACTTTTTGTTTGCAATATCAGGAAATCTTCAAATTTGCAGCTATCATCATAAGGCTTACCTAACATCTGTTATACACTATTAGAGATGTATCATGAGATTGGCAACTAAAGATTATGTTGTTTCACTAATTTTTTTTTTTTTTTTCCTTCTATCGCATGCTGATGAAGTTAAGCTTAAATTATATTATATTAAAGTTATTTATTATAATTACACCTATTTCCTGTACATGCTTCTAATTTAACTGAGTGTCAAATAAATAAATTCCTACATATACTTTAGGCTTATCCAGGGCCGATGTGGTACTCTGCAGATCTAAAATTCTGCTGCCAAGTGCCACCCTGAATTCTAAAAATTTCCCCGCCCATAAATTTTGCATTCTAATGCCTTCTCTGAATTCTAAAGATTTTGCTCTCCCTTAATGTTTTGCTCAATGCTTCTCCGAATTCTAAAAATTTTGCCTGCCCTAAATCCTGTTGCCCGATACCGCAGGTCTGGCTTTAGTCCTGGGCTTATCTGAATAACAGATCAATTATTCTCAATTCAAGCATTACTAAATATAATCTTTTGCCTATGTGTATCATCATTTAAAAAATCTGTTTCCCCTTCCCCACATGGAAAGAAATTTTTGTCAAATTTCTCCTCGTCAAAACATTCAACACTTGACTGCTGAAATCTGTAATCACTGCCATGTGTAATGTCAACATAATAGGTTACCATGATCTTTGATATTCAGTTACTATTAAAAAAAATATCATTTGTTTATAGACAGAATTGTTTATAGACATAGATGGGGGGGGGCTATGTCTATAAACAATTTCTCAAGCTGCTGTATGATAACTCATGATGAAAATAAATGATGAAAATAAATAATCATTTGCCAGACTGGTATCAATGCCATAGTGAAATTAGGAATCAGTACTTTCCACACATTTTATTTATGAAAAAATATCAAATGCGCAAATGTAAAGCTAAAACAAATTTCTAAAAAAAAAGTTTTCAGTGATCTAGAGGTCTGGATTTTGGACTTTGTACCACATCATGTTTTAAGTATTTTGCATTAGCCAGAGAAAATAACCAATCCTGACTTTTAAACTGGAAGAAGTAAACAGAGAAAGTGTAAACTATATTCACCTGACAAATAGATAAAAATATCAACCATCTCTATCTTGCATAATCACACTACCAAATCCCTAACGGCCAAGTTTAATAGACAGTTGTTATGATTTGGTAAGTACTTTTCAGGGCCATGTAATGCTTACAAAATTTTCCTATTTAAATTAATTTCTTTTTCAATTAACACCTTCTACAAGCATATAAAATTATTAAAGCTTATTGAAATCTAATTCAGTAAGAATGCTTTTTTTATTTTGTTTAATTTTCAATGATTTTCCATTTAACTTCATTTCTATGGACATTTCATACATAAGATCAAAATTCTTCAAGTAGTATCTAAATAGTATTAAATGTTTATCATAACTAAAAATTTTTCTTTAAACTAAGTAAATTGTTGAAGACCTAGAGAATGTTTCTTTTTCAAGTCTCCTCTTATTTCTCGAGCACGTTCTTTATAAAGATTTGCTTTTTCTTCATCCTTTTCAACCCCATCTCCTTCTTTGTACATTTGACTAAGATTCATACATGCATAAACATTTCTACCTTCACAGGCAAGTCGAGATAATTCTGAGGCTTTAGTTCTGTTTTTTAGAATACCTTCAGCACCTGTTATGTACAGACTACTAGCAAAATAACAAGCTGTAGCATTTCCTCCAGCACAAGATTTTTCTAAATATTTTAGGCCTTCAACATAGTCTCTTGTGATAATATCTTTTGCACTTTTATCTTTAGTTGTTAACATCACGCCACAATGTAAACATGCGTCTGCACTATCAAGACTACAAGCCTTTTTATAGTAGTTGAAAGCACCCAAAATATCTTTTTCAATACCTGAAATACAAATTTTTGATAAGCTACAAAACATATTAATTTAGAATAATAAAGATACTACTTTTTTAACTAAGATTAATGACTAAATACTAATGCAAAAGGCTAAAATTCCACGACAGTTAATATTATGCATAGTATAGCTTATGATAAATTAACTTTATATTTTTCAACTTGTAAAAATTATAAAATACTGAAATGATATATGAAAATCATTAAATAGTTATAAATGGTGCCAATGGAGTAATTTAACTATGTGCATAGATAGCATAAATTTATTAAATGCATAACACATAAAAGTAATCCACTACACAATCACATGATATTATTTGACAAATCAACTCAAAACTTTGTTTACAGAGGGAGATGATATTTGAAATATTTAACAATACTAAATTTAATAACATAACTAATATTTAATAACACATTTCACATTGTTGTTGTAACTATCTGATTTGTCTGACAGTAAAATTAGATCAAGTCTACAAATTTTATCATGGTAAAGAGAGCACGACTACCACTCAAGCACCAAACCACTCAAGAGGACTTTCAGCTTACCATGTATTTTGAATGTTCTGTGCTGCAATGACATTATAACGCTTATAAACATCAAAGACTTCTCTACGATTTGAACGCGGGCCCAACAGTTACAACAGCCAACAATGCTAACCACTATATTCATCAGGGTGGCATTTAAAAGACAGTATGTTTAAGAAAAAACGATTAGTTCACTGTTATTACTTTTTTATTATAGACTTTTATATGTCACATATAATACCATTAAAAATATGCTCTCATGTTTTGTATTCCTACTTAATTATCCTTGATGTCTGTCTGAAATACAATAATCAATATAAAGCTCATAGAGAAAAAATGACTAGTGATTTATTTCTTGTATATCTTCAATACACTGCTTAGAGCCTAATAAATATGATGAACTTCATCAGTGATGCCCAGATGTTAGCCTGTGGGCCATATGGAACTATCGACCTCTTTAATGTACACGAAATATTACTTACCGTAATTTCCGGAAGAAACGCCGCGGCGTTTATGTGTTTAAAACTTAAATTTTCAGCGGGTGCGGTGTTTCTACCCATGCGGCATTTAGGTGCACTAAAAATAAAATATTTCCTATGATGGTCATTGTACATAGTTTGGATGGCCTTGTAATTGTGCATAGACTGGTGCTGTTCCCACAAAAAAGACCACTCAGTTGATTTTTGCGAACGTTATTTTGTTTACATTCTTTCCCTTGAACGGACCTACATGCCTTATTCACCCTAAACGAGATCTCAGAAGAATAACATTCTCCCCCCTTTCAAATCAGCATTCTCATCAGTTTGAATAGTCTCTCTCCTCTGCCATTCGATGAATCTTCCAGGACCCATCCTCTCCCCACCCCTGCCTTTTCTGCAATTCTTTTCAAAGGCGGACACGACTCCACCTGCCTCGCAATAACGAACTCTGACGTATTTCCTCTTCAACATGAATAGATTTTTTCTTGGCATTCTGCCAAATACAGATCCCATCAGTTTGGGTACAAGTACTTGTGGAATAGTTTTTAAGTAAGAAGGGAGCGGAAAATTTTTGAAAATGTCTCTAAACGTCACAGAAACTAAACATTTCTTACCTTTAATTTATTTTTGAGTTATGGTTTCATTTCATGCATTTTTCTTAACTGGTATGTCATATATCAGGACTTGAGTTTTGCATCTATACGGCCCACGACGATGTCACGCGCAATTTAATCTATTGCGGCATTTACGCTGATGCGGCGTTTCTGTGTAATTTAAATTTTTTTCCCACCATTTTTCTCGAGTGCGGCGTTTACGCTGATGCGGCCTTTCTTCCGGAAATTACGGTATTTTATTTAATTATTTTTATTTTTCAATTTATTTAAATGGTGACATTTACTTACTTACTTGAATATGTCTAAAATGCTAACATTCAGTGAGACTTCATAAGCCTGCACAGCTATGAGAATATTTACAATTAGTTGTAAACAAGAGCTTTTAAAAGAATTCTGCTGTGTTTGTATGGAAAACCCTTTGTTTAGAATTGTTAAAATAAGAGTTTAAATGAAGTATCTATGTTTAAGTTCTTTTATGGTTGACAACAACTAACTGTTAATTTCTGTTGTTGATCTTTGCCAAATGGTATTCGTTCCTGAAAAAATGGTACAAAGGAAATTATATACATTTGCAAACTTATAGAATATAGACAAAATACTGTCTCCATTTATAACTAATTACCAGCTACTGATTTGTGCCCTCTATGATAGGCATGAACAAAGGTCTATTCATATCTCTGCTATTAGTGAATTGCATAACAAGCTGTGAAGTCATGAAAAGATTTAAATTGCTATTCCAAGAATTTCTGCATACAAAAGAAGCTTAGCAGGATAATAAAGAGCACAAACTTTTTGCTAACTTTTGATGATTAGTATTTGGGGGGGGGAATGCATTTTTAAGGTAGTGCAAGTAAACTCTGGAGGCTATGCCTTAAATATTCCTTACCTATACAAAATTAACTGCAGCTACCAACATGCTTTTTTCTTTCATTACCAGTCAAAGGTTCTAGTGAAACATAACTAATTTTGTATTCAACCTGCTATTTATGTCTGCTTTCTGCACTAAATTTTTTAATGCATACACACTTTTCTGCACTTTTACATTATATGCTCAATGCTAATATTTTGAACCAATATTATAAAGTTTCACAATGTATGTCTCTAAAATTTTAAATTTTAATTTATATATGCTGATTTAAAAGTTTTAAAACAAATTATTTTATTAAGAATAAAATTAATTTGTTGGCTCTGTAATTTTTTTCCTTTCCAAAGCAAAAGCCTTCACACTGAATTACGGTTTTCGCAACATTTATGATATTACTTTTAGCACTGAAATTGTGGCATTCCTCACTTCATCTAAAGAATAGTGCTGCCACTGTCACAGCAGCAATAATGCAACCAGGCATTGTTCTGGAGTAAAAAAAAAAAAAAAAAAATGTTTTTTGAGAGCAAATCTTTTATTTCTTCCTCATTGCTTGATATAAATAGATTTTAGGAAAGTTTGTATTACAGTCACCGTTCACTGTCTGGTCATGGGTATTCATTACTGACATCTACGATCATATGGATGGATTTCTCCCCGGAATGTTCATCATTGACCTTTGAAATGCGTCTGCTACTGAAATACTGAAGCCTAGCTACATGTTTAGCCACCTTACACACGTAACATTTCAAGTGATTGACTTGTCTTCACAAGTTTAATCAAAATTAATTCAAACCCTTGCTATATTTTCACAATGATGTCTTCATTACTTATCACAACAAAAGGTAATAAATAGGTGCTATAATTTGCTATAACCAAACACTGAATGTTAACTGCTGCCAATCTGCAGGTTAAGAAACATTGGTGTTTGACCTTCATACAAACTAGTACAGAGTTGTTGTAACGAACCTGCATTTAACCATGGCGGCCCGAAGAGCTAACACAAAGCATCCGGTGGTTCAGTTTTTCTAATGCTATTTATTATCTGTTATATTTACATATTTACAACTGTCCTATTGTTAGGCGGACTACCTTCACAGAAATCATGTTGCCTAATCAAACGATATTTCGTTTCTACTTACATGCATTGCACTACTGCCAAGCAGCGCCATCTACTTCTCTCTTTACAACACTCCTTACCTGTGAACTCTTTAAGTTCACACAAACCGAATACAAAATAAACTAGTATTTCTAAATCAAACATAACATTTGAATACTACATAAACTACATCAAATTACAAATAACAATTAAGTAATGTTTAAACACATTAAATCAACTTATAAAGTAATTACTAAATAAGAAACATTATACTAAATCAAAATTTGCAATAATTATATAAACTAAACTACATTTAGCAACAATTAATAAAGATACTCAAAAGATGACATAAGTGCAAACAACAAATTAGGTTATTACACAGTAACTCTTTACTACACACAGTAATTCTTTACTACTAATTAACTAATTACGCACTTCAAGATTGTACAGAAGTTGTATTGGTCTCTTCAGATTGCCTGTTTGAGTTTTTATTAGACAAGAGCAAACCTGACCATCTCTGCCAGGATAAGTTTCTATTATCTTACCTAGTGTCCACAAATTCCTAGGTAATCGGTTGTCATGTACAAGGACAACGTCATTAACATTAAACTGACCAGACACTTTAGTAGGTGGACATAAATTCACAGATCTTAAAGAAAGCAAGTAATCCTTCCTCCACCTATTCCAAAAGTGGTTTAACAAAGTTTGTTGATGTTTATACTTTTTGATCAAGGAATGTCTAGACCCAATCAAGTCTTCTCTGCACACTCTTGTAACTGGAAGAGAAAGTAAACGTTTACCAATTAAGAAATGAGCAGGCGGTGAGGGTTCTGAAGGGTCATTGTAGACATACGTTATGGGCCTTGAATTAATTATGGCTTCGATTTCTACGAAGACTGTTTCTAGCTCATTCAAAGAGAGACTAGAACGTCCAACTATTTTCCTTAAACAAGTTTTAATCCTTCTAAAAGCCTTTCCAAGAACCCTCCCCACCATGCTCCTTTTTCCACAATAAACTTCCATGTTATACCGTGGGAAGAAAACAAATTTTGTACAGATGGATGTTGAATACACTTCCAAATTTTTCGCAACTCGAGATCAGCACATTTGAATGTCTTGGCATTGTCTGAATATATCGTTGAGCACAATCCACGACGAGAAATAAACCTGCGAAATGCAAGCATAAAATTCTCCACGCTCGTAGAAGGGACAAGTTCTAGATGCAAAGCTCGAGTTGTAGCACATGTAAACAAAAGCAGATAATGTTTATTCTTGCTGTCCTTTGTAAAGAAGGGACCAGCATAATCCAGCCCTGTTACAGAAAATGGAGATGATTGAAGAACACGATCAGGTGGTAAAGGAGCGGTTTCCTGTGTACCGGCACGCACCTTGTATCGTTTACACAAAAAGCA